ACCTTTAAATTTTATCACTTTAGATTATCATATCATGTCCCATCTATACATGCACATTTGACTCGTGTTAGATGCGTTTTGGAATTTGTAGGCAGCCACCCTTCTAAACTACAGACCAGGACCCCCTAGGTAGAGGCGTCAGTCCATCAGCTCACGAGCTCAGCTTGTGCTCGTGAAGCGAGCTCAACTCCCGTGAGCTTATTGGTTGAGCCAAATTGCTCACGAGCCCATATATTTATTTATTTATTTTGAAAAGTTACCAAAAATGTGATCGTTTGGTCACATTTTTTTACGAACTCGTGGGTTCGGTCCACGAGGTATTTGTCGAAGCTACGAGTCCAATCAGCCTACGGTCGAGTTCAGAAGAGCTGCTCGACCCAATTGCCACCCCTACGTTTAGACAACTTGGCACATGTGAGTTAACTTGTCTTTATACACAGGTCAAATGGTACTGGACTTGGTGGCTTGCCCTACCTGGTACAGGTTGTGCCTAACAGTGTTTAGACACGTGCTACACTGAAAGTACTAGTGTAGGTGCCGGTTACATAATTGGACATCTTAAATTTGCAAAAAAGTGCAAGTCGTGCGCTAGGCTCCCAAACCAAGTCCGACCAGCTTTACTAGATTCGTACTCCTTTTCTATCTAATTGCTATAACCTAATTAATGTTATCGAAGTCAAACTGTTACGTGAGCCTGCAATTAATTTACGAAGAACATGATTGGTACAGAAATGAGATCCATTTTGTTATCAGGATGAAGGTAAGAAGGTGTCATCCAGGGTACAAATGTAGATGAAGTCGACATTAAATGATTTGATCAGGTCGTGTAAAATGAAGGGCCTAGGGACCAATAATCTTTGGACTAGTTGAAGTGAAATGGACGTTACACCAAACTAAATTTTGACTATGATCGACTATCATGATCTTTTCTTCGAAAGATTCAATATATCAAAAGTAAGAATATGATATTTTCTTTATATTCGGCTAATTTGCTTGCACGAATTCACCGAAACTCATGCATTTGACCGATGATTCAAATTATCGATATGGGCTAGCTTGCTTACACCGACGGCGGAAACAGGGTGTGGCTCCAACTTTTGTGCAATTTTTTTTTTGTAAACCGACTTTAAAACGCAATCTAGTCACACATCTTGCAACTTACTAGTTGACGCGCACAATGCCAAAATCTGGCGTGTCGTTTGGCCTGCAAACTGAAACTCAAGTCAAACTTGGACTTTATAAAACTTGCCATATGACAGCTTCTTGCCCAATTTGTTGCAAAATTTAATAATTTTTAATTATAATTAGAAAATATTTTAAAAATATTTCGAGTAGAGAATTATTGAGGTATAAATCCCGCGTTACTTAAATGTAAAAATATTAAATATATTAATTCATTAGCTACTCATCTCAACACCGTGCCAAGTCCAAACTCTTTTACACTGGTTAGTATTTTTATAGTGAAAATATAGCGAATATGAATTTTACGTCATTATGTAAGTTCAATGAAATTTACTATTGTTAGAAGACACGAGGGTCATTTTAGCTTAATTTGCCTTACGGGTCAACACTTCCTTTTCGAAAATCTCTCTACAATTATTTTTGAGCAATTTAGGGTTTTTCTTAATATATGATTGAATTGAACGTATTCATAAGTTTTTCCTTATTTGGATGAAGTTTTTCTTATTTTTACAGTTTGTTTCACAAATTAGGGTAACTTTACGTTTTTCCCAAATTTTTTTTTTTACTAAACCAACGTGAATTTATCCTACGAGAAAGAAGATCACAATTATAGACGACTGCACAATGTTACCTACAGAAATTGAACGATTTTGCTAGTGGTACATCACCATGTATATAGGGGTGTACACAGTACACCCCCCTCACATGTGGGTGAGACCCGTTTGAATAAAAAATATTTTATACAAGTGGGTCCTATGTGAGTGGGGTGTACACTCTTATGTACATTTTTTTATGTACAAGTAGAATTATTCAAAATTTTGAAATGCATGTTCAAAATTTGAAGGGCCCATTAAGGATCAACTAAAGATGGGAAAAAATTACAGCTCAGGATAGGGTAACTTTACGTTTTTCCCAATTTTTTTTTTACTAAACCAACGTGAATTTATCCTACGAGAAAGAAGATCACAATTATAGATGACTGCACAATGTTACCTAGAGAAATTGAACGATTTTGCTAGTGGTATATCACCATGTATAGAGGGGTGTACACAGTACACCCCCCTCACATGTGAGTGAGACCCGTTTGAATAAAAAATATTTTATACAAGTGGGTCCTATGTGAGTGGGGTGTACACTCTTATGTACATTTTTTGATGTACAAGTAGAATTATTCAAAATATTAAAATGCATGTTCCAAATTTGAAGGGCCCGTTAAGGATCAACTAAAGATTGCCTAGCTTCATCATCAGCCAGCCTACTCTAACCTACCAGAGAAGAATCGGTTGGGCCAACTATATGTGGGTTACATATGGGTCAACCCAATATGTTTAAGATTAGGTCCAATTAATAGGCACGGAATTCAAGTCCCAAGCCTTACAAGTAAAGGCACGTGTAGGAAAAATAAGGTGTTTCTTTTTTAATTTTATTTTAATTATTCTAGATTAATAAATAAATAAAATAATGTATAACTTTATAATTTATAGGAACTTCATTTATATTTTTCAAGTTTCTAACCAAATAAATAAATAATTCTCATAATTTTATATACTAGAAGTCAATAATACTTAGTTTATATATAGAGAAAGTTATATATGTGGACTGAATTTGAGATAGGATGGATTTTTTTGTTGGATTCAAATTATTTTTAGCAATTGAACATTTGGTTGGACTAAACTTCAAAACAAGAAAATATCAAACAAAAAAGAGCTCGTCTAGATGGGCCTTTCGCATCATTGATTTAATGTTATGAATTTTTTTTTCTGCTATTAGTGTAGATTTAGGTATGTTAACCACTGTATAATACATATTTTGAGCATCTGAATGAAAAATATTTAGGGTTTGTTTGGACTAGGGACGGATTTAGGAAGAATTGGGCCGGGCTACAGTTGAGCCCAATTCCAGGCCCATTAATTTTTTAAGAGTAAAGAAAATATCTTTTCTTGTAATTTTTTTTTACGTGTAAATTATTTTTCCTACATATTAACTCAACTTGTAGTTTGATTCTGAATCCGTCTCTGGTTTGAACCATGGAAGAATTTTTTTTGGATTTATTCATAAAATTATATTATCGGAAGGATGTATGATTAAACATGAGTTTTTAAAGAATTAAAATCAAATAGAGATTAGCATAGGTAAGGTCCATATATATATATATATATACATTTTTAAATAAGGGAAAAATTCATAAATAAGGTGTATACTTTACACTAATTCAAAAATTAGGTTTATAGTTTGAAAATTCAAAAATCAGGTTTTTTTTTTAATTTTTACTTATGAAATAATAAATTATTAAATCAATTT